GTCATTAATGGGTGGCTGCTCTCATCAAACGTAACATGTAGTATATAATTTATTGTAAACTGTTTTTATATTAATATTAATTGTTTTGATACCTTATATATATTCTGTCTCACATTTACTTATTGTGCCTAAGGTACAGATTGTAAATTTCTTTTATAAAAAAAAAAAAAAAAAAAAAAAAAAAAAAAATGTATTAAATTGTACATTTTGATATTTTTTTAAAAAGAAATTAAGCTTTTGGGATGTCTGAAAATGGACCGATTACTTCATATAATATATATAGATGTTAGATTTTCTGGGTAATTGAATTCATTTCGGGCTTCTGTGAAATTTGAACAGTGTCCACTGGACAATGTCGAGCTTAATGTCAATCAGTATTGGTTTATATTTCTTAATAGGTATGTATATACAAGTGACGAAAAAGAARTTATTTCATATAGCTGGGGTTGCTTATTGTATTTATGGTTGTCTTATCTGTCTCCCATTTCCCTTTATGCTAAAATGTCTTGAAATCCATTATATAAACCATATAAGTATCTTTATATCTCAATATTATCTTTATATTTATAGCCCTTACAAATTGAGAAATAAGATTGCTGATTTTTAAAGCCAAGGGCTTCACYAGTGTTTTAAAAATATATTATTCCAGTTTAAACAAAAAAATAACCGATTCGTTCTAATTTCCACTAATCCAGCAATTAGATGGTGTATAATAAGTAATAATTATATTTTAGTCTATATATTAATCGTAACAGGCAGTGTTATGATGATCCCACTCGTAATTCGTTTATTTATTATTATCAAAATGCGTAAAAATCATACTGTGAGGTATTCTTTTTACACTATGTAGACCCAAAATTCCAAAAACTATACCTAACCTAACCTAACCTAATACTCTGCAATGGCCACAATATAGCAATAATATACAATTTAAAAATATTATATAACCCACAAATCAATCGTAAAAATTTTCTGAATTGTAAATATTCATTTTGATGTATAATCAAATTGTTCGATTAGGTAATATATAACTGTTAGTTATGTGATATAGTGTCTGAAGAAAATGTRCTCAAACCGACATAAATAAAATCAAAGTCCTACGTATGATTTCAAAATATACTACCAGGTTTGTTCGAAATGATGCACTGCGAACAAATTTATAATACCTACCAAACCGAAAAGGAAASCGGGAAACAGTCGGAAAGTTTTTTCAGTCGAACAATCATCTATAGTATAGATTCTATACAATGCAAATTGCAAGCGATCCACACAACACTACAGATTGAATGACCGCCCTAATAGACGCAGACTCCAATTTTGTTTTTCCTAGGGTGTTTTTAATCAGTCCATCCTATCTTATTTATTATTGTAAAAAAAAAAATACGTTTTTATAAATGATTGTAAATTTTTTTGCATAATTGTAACATGGACATTCTAAAATATACTAGGTATATATAATATAATCTAATTACATAACTATTGTATGTCGAGGTTTAGTTGATTTAAATCAGGATAATTTATTATTATTAATAATACAAAAATAATGTATAATATTTAATTATACCTAACTATAGAATAATAAAATCCTATACAATTTATTGTACGTCCTTTTAATTTACTAACTTGTATTCGGCAGCATAAGTCCCCTTTCCCAACTTTTACCCTGACCCTGATATATCCCCGAGTTGTATAGTGTATAATACTCATTAAAAAAATACTTACAACTTATAAGATATAAGTAGATATTACATTTAAGTTTAAATATAATTGAATATATTTTATATAGGTAGGTACTATCCTAGTGGGTATTCTATGGGCTATAGCCTATATAAACCTAATTAAAATTTGATATACACAACACACAGTCTACACATGACACACATGCACACGCTTGTTACGCTTATAATATTATAATGATAATTAATAGGTATAAGTAGTTGGATTTTATTTATTAACATGTTTTCATATGATTAATGACAATGGATTTATATGTGTTGCATACACAGGCAACTTTAACAGGGTATCTCGAACGGTTCTCTCTAAAAACGCATTGGTATTTGTACGACGACTATGACAGTTATAATCCGGTAAAAGGCTTCTTAGTAATGTGGTTGAGCCTAACCGCGACGTTTCTGTGGAATTTCACAGATCTCTTCATCATGCTGGTCAGCTCAGCACTGGCGGCTCAGTTTAAGAAGCTAACAAAATCCATGCATAGCGTCAGAGGTCAAGTGAGTGCCGATGCTTTAAATGTTTTTAAATCTAAAAAATAAATAATAGTTTTTTTAAGTACCTTAATGTATTTGATAATAGGAAGGTAATAAAAATAATTTAAGAATACRCATAAATACCTACTAGCTAAAACTATCCTCGAAAAAAATAAATGAGTAAAACACCCATTTTCTAATSAACGAGGTCTTATTCTTATAGATCCACATCTAATACCGAGAAGTCCGAATTAGTCGAGCAGACTAGGAGAGGGCTTAGGGGGTATTAGCACCCCCAATTTTAAAATTAGCACCCTCAAATAATG